GTGGTACAGGGCACATGCGTCATAAAGGGGAAAATTGGGAAAACTGTGATAACATAGTCAATAAAATATACTTTAAAAAAGAAATATGGGACAAACTAAAAAACTGATCAAAATTCTAGAAATAGGACTAGATGACCAGGACATAGCATCTATCAGATGAAGATTTCAAAACACTAATAATCAAGATGCTCACTGAAATGATAGAGTGCAGCCCCAAAATAAAGGAAGAAGTAAAGGCTGTACAAGGTGAAATAAAGAAAACTATACAGGGAACCAACCGTGAAGGGAAAGAAACCAGGATTCAAATCAATGATTTGGAATGAAAAGAAGAAAGAAATATTCAGCTGGAACAGAATGAAGAAACAAGAATTCAACAAATATGAGGACAGTGTAAGAAGACTCTGGGGCATCTCCAAATGTGCAACATCCAAATTACAGGGATCCCAGAAGCAGAAGAGGAGAAACAAAAAAATAGAAAACTTACTTGAAAAAATAAAGACAGAAAACTCCCACAATCTGGCGAAGGAAATAGACATACAAGTCCAGGAAGCTCAGAGAGTCCAGGAAGCTTTGGATCCAACAACCCGGATCCAAAAAGGACAACATCAAGACATATTGCCCAAGATTAAAGATAAGGAAAGAATCTTAAAAGCGGTAAGGGTAAAAAAGAGAGTTACCTACAAAAGAGTTCCCATAAGACTGTCAACTGATATCTCAAAGAAATCTTGCCAAAACAGGGGCTGGAAAGAAGTATTCAAAGTCATGAAAAGCAAGGACCTGCAACCTAGATTACTCTATCAGGCAAAGCAATCATTTACGAGGGAAAGGCCGATAAAGTGCTTTGCAGTTAAGTTGAATTAAAGGAGTTCATCACCAATCTCTTATTACATGAAATGTTAAAGGGACTTATCTAAGGAAAAGAAGATGATCAAAACTATCAACAGCGAAATGACAACAAACTCACAACTGTCAACGACTGAACCTAAAAACCAAACAAAGACAACCTAAGCAAACAACTAGAACAGGAACAAAATCACAGAAATGGAGATTACATGGAGGATAATCAGGAAGGAGGAGGAGAAAGAATGGGGAATGGAAGAGGGAATAAGAAGCATAAATGGTAGGTACAAAATACACAGGGGAATGCTAAGAATAGTATAAAAAGTGGAGAAGTCAAAAACTTATATGTACAGCTCATGGACATGATCTAAGTGGGGGGATGCTGGAGGGACACAGCAATGTCCCTCTCCCTTTGAAGTTTTCATTACCCAAGTGTGTGTTTACCTGTTTGAACACCAAAACCCTAGGCTGTCCCTGAATGTCATCCTGAGACCTGAGTGTCATGCCTGCCTGCACATCCTGCTGAGGACAGAGTCCAAAGACTCTGCATGCCCAGGGTAAGTAACACCCATCCCCGCCCACCACCCTCCTCTACCCTTAGTTCCAATATCCCCTATCAGGGTTTTAACACCACAGTAACAGTGACTCAGAGGTGCTCATGAAACAGTAAATGAAGTGAATGAAAAGTAATGATCTCATCTTAATTGATAGAAATCTCAGTGGGGCCAGAGCCAAGTTCAGAAGCACACTCTGTCAGCACTTAGGGGAAACAAACACTCCTGTTGGCACAGTCAGTTAGACACAATCTGCTGTTTGATTTTGGAATGCGGTGATTTGTTCTCTGTTACTTAGTGTTTACACTGTTTCCTCCCTGATGTAAGTGTAAGAGCTGACATTGACCCCCAGACACTGTGTGCAGCACGTTTCCTCTGTGGATCCATTCATCCCAACACAAGTCCTCTGAGGTCGGCACTAAGATATCACCCTTACTTGACAGATGAGGAAAGTGGGGCTAGGAGGGTCAGCACCAGCTGAAGACCCATGGGTAGAAAGTTATGGAGCTGACCTTGAATCCACTAGTCTGGGCCCAAAGTCAGAATTCTCTCAGTTAACTAAGAAAGGCAAATGTTCTCATTTCGAGTCATACTGACCACACTTTAGAATTCAAACCAGAGCACACCTGTCCTGCTAGGGCTCTGGTGTGGGCAGCGTTGAATCTGTAGAATTATTTGAGAATAGTGGACACCTTTAAAACTGTAAATGTTTCCTTGAAGAACAAGGTGTGTCGCTCTGTGAGTAAAGTTTCAGGATTTTTCCTCAACACACTGCACTTTTCTGCAGGTCCATTTCAGTATTATGCTGCTGGTTCTGTTCCTGTTACCACAGTCCCACTTTGCCCTCGACCTCATGTGATGGGAATAGCTGAGCTACAGGAGAGGAGTCACTTGTTCTCTGCTGAGCATGGGTTCAGCTCATGTGAGGAATTCTTATCAGATCCAAGAGTTTTTTTTTCAGTAGATTATCTTAAATGTTTAATTCATCAGTTCATTTTTAATTTAATCTTTATTGTATTTTTCCCATTACCATTTAGTCCTCTTATAACCATCTCCTCCCAGCAATCACCACTCTGTTGTCCATGCCCATGAGTCCTCATCAATTCACTTTTGAAAAATCCTCACTCAATGACGTGCTTATTGATTTTAGAGGGAGGGAGGGATGGCACGGAAAGGGAAAGGGAGTAAACTTCAATGTGAGAGAACATCTATTGGTTGCCTCTGCTATGCACCCCAACCCCAGGTTGGTCCCCCAACCTAGTCATGTGCCCTGACCAGGAATTGAACCTGCAACCTTTGGGTTTATGGGACGTTGCCCCAATGCTCTGACCCACACTGTCTGGGACTCAGATTATTTTATATAGTTTTTTTCTCTTTGTCTGAAGACCATTATCTCTTACAGTTTCCCACTTTCCTTTTTTTAATAGACAATTTTTTTAGAGCTCTTTAGATTCACAGAGAAAATCAACAGCAAGTGCAGACTTCCCATATGCATCCCACTCACAAACACGCACAACCTCCCCACCCCCCATCTACAGCCCCACCAGACTGGGACACGTGTCACAATTGACAAACCTCTATTGACACATCAGTATCACATACAGCCCATAGTTACCATTAGGGTTTGCACTTGTGTTGCATATTCCATGTGTTTGGTGAAATGTGTAACAATATGTACCCACCCTTACAGTGCAGAGAGCTTTCCTGCCCTCCAGTCCCTGTGCTCCGCCTATTTTCCCTCCCTCTCCTTAACTACTGGAGACCACTGACTGATCCTTCAATGTCTCCTTGGCTTTGACCTCTCCCAATGTCTGCCATTGCATCAGGGATCCTGTAATCCCTAAGGGCCTGTGAGATGCTGTAGCCAGTCAGTGGGAGAAACCTGGATCCCGGACTAACCCTTGAGGTCAGGATGTATCTGGTCCAGACAGGTGTCCAGGAACAGTAGGCTCCAAGTCAAGTTGTCTACAGTGTTTATCACAGAGGACTCTGTTATCTGTGATACTATTGAGAACACTGAACCTCAGTGATTATCAAAAGCAGTGGAGTTTTTCCCCTTCCCCTTCTGGTACCCCTATAATTTGGATGTTGGAACGTTTAAAGATGTCCTGGATGCTCTTAAGCTTCTTGTCATTTTTTCGAATTCTCATTTCATCATGTTTTCCTGCTTGGTCGATTCTATCTTCCTTCTGGTCCACTGTATTGTTTTGAGACCCAGTTTCCTTCCCTTCACTATTGGCTCTCCTCCGTGTATCTTCCTGCATCTCTTTTATGGTAACCTGCATCTTTTCATCTAATTTGCGCCCAAAATCAACCAATTCTGTGAGCTTTCTAATCAACAGTGTTTTGAACTGTACATCTGATAGATTGGCTATTTCTTGGTCACTCAAAAGGATGAGTCCTGGGGGACTGATCAGTTCTTCTGTTGGAAACATGTCTCTCTCTGTCTCTTCTTTTTTTCCTTTTTTTCCCCCGGTCTGGTCGCTCTTGCTACGGTGGGGGGCGGAGCCTTAGGTGTTCACCAGGGGCACAGGGCCCTTTGCTTAACCTGGCATGGTCTGTCTCCACTGACAAAGCTGTCCCTGTCCCACTGTGCACTGGTGTTTCAGGGTAACATGCATGAGTTCTTGTGTTCCTTACCAGCCATCTGGTTCATGGTGTCTGGTCTTCTCTTGTGCTGTTCCCACAGGATCCCTCCTCCTAACACCACTTCATGTGAAACCCTATCTCTTCCGAGAGGCTCTCAGGCATGCTCCCCTGTACCCAGACTGTTTTCAATGTCTTTCCTTAGAACAGTCCATGCCCAAGGGCTTCCATGGGGTATCTGTGCATGGCTAGGGAAGGAGTAGGATAGGCCTTGTGGGCGCTACTGCCCTGGGACCCTGAGGAACCAAAAGGTGCCACCCTCCTAACTGACAAAAGAAATGTCAGTTAGGAAAGTCTCCTGCTTGATTTGATGGAATCTTTGCTACACCATCTTTCAATGGTTAGATGAGAGTCAGAGGGTGGGAGATGGCGAGAAAGCTTCCTCTTTGCACACTGTTCTCCCGACACCCAAAAACCCCTGGTATCTTCAAAAATATCCCCACACCACTAACCTTTCTTCCTCGATTGCTCAGAGTCACCCTAACCCATCAGGTATCCTTTCACACTAAGATGGACTGGAAGCAAACATTCCAGGAGTATGTGCCCATCCTCTTCTCTATGCCAAGGGCTAGGCTGAGCCAGGTGAGCAAACTGGTCACTACCCTCAATTAAGGAGCTAAAAATTAAGGGGGGATCACATCAAACAAAGCTCACATAAACTCCAGTTAAGGAGCTGAATCCTGGGGTGGGGGGCTGCTAATCAACTGATCGCAGTTTTGTAAACTCCCTCCTCGATTTTAGCCACAAAGGAGATGTGCGTGGTGCCAGCAATGCTTATTCTTCACCAAGTCACCAGTGCTGTGACCATGACAGTTGGAAACACGCCTTAGTGAGGAAGAGAGGGCTGGAGGCCAGGCCTTGTGACCTGTCATGTCTTTGTGGGCAGGACCTGTGAGGCTCACTAAGTACAAATAGCCCTGGGCTCCCCAGGCTGCTGAGTCCAGCTGCTAACTACTCATTGTTTGCTAAAGCTGAACTCAAAGCAACATCAACCATGAGACTGTCCTTGTGTGTCCTCCTGGTCACTCTGGCCCTTTGCAGCTATGAGGGTGAGTATCACTCCTAATCAGACTACCACCAGGTAAGTAACCTTCTCTGAAGTGGGTAACTTATTTGGGGAGGAGAGGTGAACAGATCAGAACCAGACGCACTACTTGTGAACTAGCCCACTGAATGCCAAAGGCTCTTGTATCAAGTCCCAACACCCTGGAACTTTCCAGAAAACCCTTTCAGGCCACTTTGAAGAGCTTCTCATCTGAAGCCTCACTCCTTCTCTAGAGTCCATTATCAGAAGCAGCAGGATGTGATAACATTTGGTTGTGAATCACACTTCTGTCACTCGACAGAGCTGTTACTTGAACAAAATGCTCAGCCTTCCATGAGCCCTCTCATCCTCCATTTTTACAGCCATGAATGAGAACAGCTGTGATCGTGGAGTGAGACAAAGGGTGTCAGGAGCCAGCTCTGGGTCTTAGGAGCTGTTCTACTTCCCAGAGTCTTTGGTGCCAGTTGAACCATGGCTTATGAGTCTTTCAGACTCATAGAATGCTCCAGCTGGGAGGGTTTTAGGAGAGTTTTCAGTTCAATAAGAGCCAGCGTGGTCTGGCTCTCTCAGGAATTAGTCAGGATCAGCAGCACTCAACACATGCACACGCCCTGCTCTGTTTTTCAGAGTCCACCCAGGATTGGAAGAACCAGTACAATCTCAGGGCTGCACTGGCTGTGTTTCTAGGCAACTTCTAGCCACTCATCCACCAATACTTTGTTGTATCGTCATGCGCTTGACTCTGATCAAATTGCTTTTGACTCTCTTTCATCTGACTTTCTGAACTCCTCCTCTTTCCTGTGTTGCTGGTGATCTGTCCCCATCTCAGCATAGTTGTTGTCTGATCAGGTACATGGGAGCCTGGTAGGGCACATTCCCTGCTGCAGGTGGCTATAAACACCTGGGGACAGAGCAGAGGGTGGGGATGGGGAATCCAGACCAGGAAGAATGTTTAGTTCAGGTCTCAGCACAATCCCTTTGCAGCCAAACGCAGGCCCTGGTTGCCACCTCAAAGGAATTCTGTATCCAGTGCAGACCAGAAGAGCTAGTCATGGTTCATATGTAAGCCTCAGATTCCTTTCTAAGCTATTCAACTCTTTTCACCCAATGACATAATTCTACTGTTTAACTTGCTCTTAGAAGAGCATTTTCCAACATTCATTCATTGTTCCTGCTCCTCTCCAGTCTTAGTCCCTGTTCTGACCTCTGCGAGATCGGCCCTTCCCACTCTGCAGGAAAGACTGATCACTAACAACTCCTCGTCCCCAACGTCCAAGACCAAAGAACATGTCACCCTAACAACAGATCAAACCCTAAATTCTGAAATCCAGGGAAAGTGAATTTCAGCAAAGAAGGATTGTCTTCAAAAGGTGTGCATGTACTTGACACAGAAGAGCTGAGCTGAATCTCAGTGAACCTGTCTTCTAGGACCAGCTCTGCTGCTGCTGTGTGATTTGAGCAAGTCATGGCTTTTCAGCATTTTTCATTGTCATTGGCTCAAACATGGGATGAGACCATAAACCCCCCAGTGTTCCTGTCTAGTTGTAAGGTTAGGGGCCATCAGGGAAAAGTGACTTCCTCACATCAATTGTATTTCTTCTTCTTCTACTCCAGCAAATGCAAGAGTCTGTCCATCTTTTATGTCTGAACTTAGAAGCTTCTTTTTGGATTCTGTACAACTCTACAATGTCTATCTTCTGAAATTTCTTCCACCTAGAGAAGCTGCTGAGGCCATGGTAAAAGTGAAGGAATGTACCAACCTTATGCCCAGACAGGACAGACAGAATATTTTCAATGTTGTGGTAAGTTGTTTCTCCTTCCTCTGTAGGGACTTCTGCTCAGCTGCACAGCCAGAAAGGATGTCAAGGTTCTGCACTATGGGCACATGGTGGGGAGGGACCTGCAACTCTTCTCAACTCAAATGAAGAAACTTGGGGGCCATAGGGTGGATGATGACATGACACCTGCTGAGCTAGACTAAGGCTGCACATTACATGTAACATGTTCCTCCTTTTCAGGTCACCTTCCTGGGCACCACATTCCCCCACAGTGTCCTGGGGAGGACAACCAGGGCCCAGGTGGTGATGCTAAAAGGCAGAGACTGCTGCCTTGCTTCCTGGGAGGTTTCAAAGGTTGGACACCAGATCTCTCACCCAGTGGCACAGTCCCTGGGGAGCCTCAGGGAGGGTGGAGAATGTTGGAGAGAATCAGCTGCTGAGAGTGGGCAGACCCAGGTCCTACAGCAGGATTGAGGGGTGGCTGCTTGGGGCTCCGCCAGCAGAACAAGCCTCTCCCTATACCTGAGCCTCACTTACCCAGCCTTCATCAACCACGGCCAGTGGTCAGAGACCCTCCCTGTTATGTCCTTTGCAGCCTCGAGTGGAGCTGGAACAGTTCCATTATATGTTGGGGAAGAAATATGATATTTATAATACTTTCCCAGCTTGTCCACCCCCTGAAATGAAGTTGGACTTGGTATACATTTCCACAGGGGCTGGATACTCAGTGTGGAGATGTCCATGTGCTGTCAGTTTGATTTTCTCAAAGAGACAGGACATCTCCTACAGATAGAATGTCCCATGTCTTCTCTTGCTCCTGTCCTCTTCTCTCACCCTAAGTCCACTTTGGAGAGAAAACATAGAACCCTCGGACCTGGGACTCTGAGGAAGGGATATCCTGGGCTGCTCGGTCCTGCCCTTGACTCTATCCCAGCTCCATTAGAAACCCAAGTCCCACGCCTGGATCACTCCAGGTTTATTTGTCTTGCTATGGACATGTTCTTCCCTGTCCTGCACTGTTTGTCATGACTGCACCAGGACTATTGAATTCCCCACCTACTCAGCTCTCCTGCCTAGTGGCTCCATGTGCCTTTCCTGGGTGCAGTTTTCCTCACATGTTGGTGTGAAGAGAAGTCCCTGTGAACGTGGCATCTCCAGGGGCAGCATAACTGATGTCCCCTGTCTCTCTTTCTCTGTTTCAGAAAGCTTTACAGTCCAAATGTAACAACTAGACATTAAAAATCTCATACATGAGTGCCTCTGTCATTCAAGGATGACCTGATCACCCCCGGAAAATGTGAAGGTTTCAACGTCTTGCTTCAGTAAAGTACTTGCCCTGCACTTCTCTCCCTGTCTTGTTTTGGTCCAACAGTCTGTCCCTGGAGTTGGGGTGGTTCTCATCGTGAAGTACCCATATCACTCTTGTCTCTGCCCTGGGAGGGGACCTTGATGTCACCCTTTCTGTGTGTTTGCAAATCTCTCTCTGCCTCTTTGTTTACAATACATGGGATGGCATTTGGAGGCTACCAGGAAATTCATAATTTTCTCCCCTAACTCACAATCTGCACCCATGTCACATTAGCAAAGCCCTTTGTGCCATGGAGGATACACCACAGGCCCCGATTTAGGGTATGGATTTGGTGGGGGGGGGGGGGGGGTAGGCGGGGGGGGGGGGCGCTTTATGAGCCTACTTCAGCTCATGTGCACCTGACACCTAATAGTCCACTAACTTCTGCTCCCTTCATGGTTGAGAATCCCTCGGATACCTTGGTGTTCCCATCCACATAGCCATCCTCACAGTGCAGGCCTTACCCAGTGTGCCCAGGTCCCCTAAACAGACCTCTGGGTCAGAGAGACCCCTGTTGCAATACACCCTTCCCTATCGACCCCAAGTGACCCTCCAAGTGGGATTCCATCCTGACTTCTGCAACTTTGAAACACTAGAGGTCATGGGTTTCTTAATATTTCAAATAAGAGTACCTATTGTTAGATCTAACCCATCTCTAATTATGAAGGTTGTGTGAAGGACAAGCTATGATTCAGAAACCAAAAATTAAGTTATCTACTATTACTAACTATGTCCAATGTCTTTACAATAAATGTGTATTTTTGATCACTTCAGGAAACATATATACTTACATTAGTCTCTGTTTTCTGAAATGCATTATATACTCAGTCTACACACTATGCTTGATAAACACAAGGACTTGTGATGCCCTTGGGACAGCCTGAGAAGCACAGATGGGGCCATGTGGGGAGCACACAGGTCCATCTGGCATTGCACACGAGGCCTTGCTGGACCCAGAGCCTGGGCCCCCCTGACCTCACCATCCTGCTCACCAGGCTCTCTACTCAGCCATCCTTGTCCAGGTGCCATTTCTCCTGTGTGAGGTTGGGTCACAGCTCTGCACGAGCCTGGTAGTGGCCCCTGTGCCCCTGTATTGTCCCTGGCACAGGACAGCTGATGACCTCAACTGTGAGGCCCTTTCATGTCCGTTCCTCAGCAGGGCCTCCTCTAACTCTCACATCCTGTAATAAACCTTTATACACAGACACACAGGTTACACTCTCAGCACACTTGTGGTGCACATGGTGGCACACACAACCAACCTTCAGACATGCAGTCACACCCAGACACACACACAGAATGGTGCTGCTGTCGCTCTGGTAGCACTTTGCTTTTCAGTGGTGTGGTATTCACACCACAAAGTTCATTGGAGACCGTCCTGACTGAACTGACAATATGAAAGCACCAATGTTCTCATTGTTATTATTCCCAAAACATGTAAGAGTTTGCATACAGAGTTTACACAGATGAAAGAATGCTGCAACTTTTTTCTGATGAACTTTTCCCCTGAAGTCCAATCCCCTTACCTACACTTTTCTCTCCCTATTGAAAGGGTCAGTTGAAAATGGAATTTAAGGGGGACAGGAAGATGGCGGCTTTACTCTAGGCAGCGTTTTTCTTGGCTTCTGGGAAGAGGAGGGAAACTCACGGATCGGTGGAGAAACAGAGCAAGTGGACTAGGTTACCGAATCACTTTTGAAAGCAGGACATTAAAAATTATTGTGATCACGGAAAAACCAGACATGTAGGGGGGAAGCTGTGAACACCAAGATACACGAAGGAGATTGTACCACTGAATCTCACAAATATTCTACCACAGAAGTTCACATCATAATTACAGGGAATCAGAACAGATCAAATTAACAAACAAGAAGAAAAAAGAAGAAACACACGAACAATGAGAAAACAAAGAAACAACCCCCAACTGAAGGGAAACGAGGAAGCCTCAGGAAAAATGCTAAATGAAATAGAGGCAACTCAACTATCAGACAGTGAGTTCAAAACAATGATCACAAGGAAGTTCAATGAACTCACATTGAGTTTTCAGAAATTAGAGCGAAACTACATCAATCTCACTGTAAACTATATAAACATGAAAAAGGAAATAGAAACTCTCAACAAAGGTCAAGAGGAAATGAAGAATACAATTTCTGAACTGAAGAACACAGTAGAAGGAATGAAAAGCAGGATCGAAGAAGCAGAAGATTGGATTAGTGAGCTGGAGGACAAAGTAGAAAACAACATCCAGAAAGAGCAAGAAAAGGAAAAGAGGCTCAGAAATAATGAAGAGGGATTAAGAGAAATGCAAGACAATATGAAACGTAATAATATCCATATAATAGGGATACCAGAAGAACAGAAGAAGAACAAGGGATCGAAAACCTAGTTGAAAAAGTAATGAAGGAGAACTTTCCTAATTTGATGAGAGAAAAAGTCACACAAATCCAGGAAACACAGAGAGTCCAAATCAAGAGGAACCCAAAGAGGCCCACCTCAAGACACATCATAATTAAAATGGCAAAATTTCAAGACAAAGAGAGAATCTTAAAGGCAGCAAGGGAGAAAAAGGAAGTAACATACAAGGGAGCCCCAATAAGGCTAACAGCCGACTTCTCAATGGAAACACTTCAAGTCAGAAGAGAATGGCAAGAAATACTCCAGGTAATGAGAACCAGAGGTCTGCAACCAAGGCTGCTATATCCAGCAAGGCTCTCGATCAAGATAGAAGGCCAAATAAGAAGCTTCCCAGACAAAAGAAGTCTAAAAGAACACACCTCGACCAAACCAGCTCTGCAAGAGATCCTAGAGGGACTGCTTTAAGGAAGGGAAGGAAAAGAGAGAGAGAGAGAGAGAGAGAGAGAGAGAGAGAGAGAGAGAGAGAGAGAGAGAGAGAGAGGAACACACGTACATAAAAGAAAATGAATAAGTACCTATCAATAATAACCTTAAACATAAATGGATTAAATGCTCCAATCAAAAGACACAGAATAGCTGAATTGATAAGAAAAAATGACCCACATATCTGCTGTCTACAAGAGACCCACCTCAGGATAAAAGACCTACACAGGCTGAAAGTGAAGGGCTGGAAACAAGTCTTCCAAGCAAATGGACAGGAAAAAAAAGCTGGGGTAGCAATACTCATATCAGACAAAATAGACTTCAAAAAAAGGTCCATAAAGAGAGACCCAGAAGGTCACTTCATAATACTCAAGGGAAGAATCCATCAAGAAGACATAAATATTGTAAATATATATGCACCCAACATAGGAGCAAAGAAATACATAAAGAAAATCTTAGAGGACTTCAAGAAAGATATGGACAGCAACACAATTATAGTGGGAGATTTTAACACCCCACTATCAAAAATGGACAGATCTTCTAAACAAAATATCAACAAAGATATTGTGGCATTGAACAATACCCTTGAGGAAATGGACTTTACTGATATATACAAGCCCTCCATCCAAAAGAAGCTAAATATGCATTCTTTTCAAATGTACACGGAACATTCTCAAAGATAGACCACATGATAGGACACAAAACAAGCCTCAAGAATTTCAAGAAAATTGAAATCATACCAAGCATTTTCTCAGACCACAAGGGACTGAAGCTAGAAACCAACCCTAAGGAAAAAAACCCCAAACACTCAAAATCATGGAGATTAACTAGCATGCTATTAAACAATGAATGGGTCAAGAATGACATTAGAGAAGAAATCAAAAGGTTTCTGGAAACAAATGAAAACAAACTCACAACAACCCAAAACTTATGGGACACAGCCAAGGCAGTCCTGAGAGGGAAGTTCATAGTGATACAGGCCCACCTAAAAAGGTTAGAAACATTCCAAACAAACAACCTAACCCTACATCTACAAGAACTTGAGGAACAACAACAAAGGCAGACCAGAGCAAGCAGAAGGAAGGAAATAACCAAGATCAGAGCAGAATTAAATGACATAGAGACTAAAAGCACAATTCTAAGGATCAAGGAATTCAAGAGCTGGTTCTTCAAAAAGATAAACAAAATCGACAAGCCCTTAAGCAGACTCATCAAGAAAAAAAGAGAGAAGACCCAAATAAACACAATCAGAAATGAAAGAGGAGAGATTACAATAGATACCACAGAAATACAAAGGATTGTAAGAAATTACTACAAAGAATTGTATGCCAAGAAATTCGAAAACCTAGGTGAAATGGACAAATTTCTAGAAAAATACAATCTTCCAAAACTTAATGAAAAAGAAGCAGAAAGCCTGAACAGACCAATAACAACAAAAGAAATTGAAGCAGTAATCAAAAAAACTCCCAACACACAAAAGCCCTGGACCAGATGGTTTCACAGGAGAATTCTACAACGCATTTAAGGAAGAGCTAACCCCTATCCTTCACAGACTATTCCAAAAAATCCAAAAAGATGGGAGTCTCCCAAACTCTTTTTATGAGGCCAATATCATCCTAATTCCAAAACCAGATAAAGACACAACAAAGAAAGAAAACTTCAGGCCAATATCACTGATGAACATTGACGCAAAAATCCTCAACAAAATACTGGTAAACCGCATCCAACAATACATCAAAAAGATCATACACCGTGACCAAGTGGGATTCATTCCAGGGATGCAAGGATGGTTCAATATTTCGCAAGTCAGTAAATGTAATACATCACATAAACAAAAGCAAAGACAAAAACCACATGATTATATCAATTGATGCAGAAAAAGCATTTGACAAGGTACAGTACCCATTCATGATAAAAACACTCGGCAAACTGGGAATAGAGGGAACATTCCTCAACATAATAAAGGCCATATATGAGAGACATACAGCCAGCATCATACTCAATGGGCAAAAATTAAAATCTTTTACACTAAGATCAGGAACAAGGCAAGGATGTCCACTTTCACCACTTCTGTTCAATATAGTACTGTAAGTTTTAGCCACAGCAATCAGACAAGAAAAAGAAATAAAAGGCATCCAAATCGGAAAGGAG